ACAAGAAGTGGGCCATGAATCCAGAAAGTGCATATATTGAAGGTTCAACTGCTCGATTAGAAAAAATGGTTTGGGAGAATCCAGATAACGAAGCGTTGACAACGGGAAAGGGAAAATGTAGGTGAAAATGTCACTATTTTGGTACCTTATAATGTTCTTGTGATGTTTGTTCCTGCGTTGTTGTTGTTTCATATTTTCAGAAAAAAATGACATTGTTCATGGTTTTAAAGTTAAACTTAATTTATTTGTATTTTGAAAATTGGTTTATAAAATCTGAAGACTAAATGTTTTTGAATATATGTTTTAATTGGGTACACTGAACCATACTATACAGTACATCGTACCGGTTCGTACCAAAATGAACTTACCCCCTCCGTACCCCGATATGACAACTTTAGGGAATCACGAATCTGACCCGCATTCCCAAACCGGAGAAACCTGCAAATTAGGTAACTAGGGTGAAGGGGAGCAAAATGAAAAAACGAGAAGATGTGAAACAAGAGATTCAATGTGGAGATTCAATTTTAGGTTTATGTTACGCATAGGTTAATCTACACAACGCGTAGGTCTACGTTGTGTGTAGTTTAGCTTGTTTTCGTGAAATCCCAATTTTGGGATTTGGGCCCTATTTAATGACATTAACTTCTAGGGTTTAGTGTCATTCTTAGCCTCCACCATATGAAAATGAAACCCTAGCTTCCCTATTTTGTGTTCATGGATTTTGAGTGTTAAAACCCCATATTTGTGGTACTTGAAGAAGAATAATGACCTTGGTGATGCTTACAAGTTTTATTCATTAAATATCCAACCTTTCCTTGTGCTTATGGACCTTTGTAATTTAAAAAGTTCTCTACTTTATTTAAATCGATGCATAGGTCTAGACTTTGGTTGGGTTTTTGGTCACTTTTGGTCCTTTATACTTGATGTTCTTGGAGTTTGAGCAACTTTAGAACCTCAGAATGGACGAGTTGTTTTCTGTTCATTTAAGAATAGAAAAGAGCATGTGAATGGACTCCCTTTGAGCCATGCACAAGATCTTGACCATTTCGGGACACTTTTAAGTTAGGGTTTTAGATTGGGATTGTATGTGCTATTCATCTGGATAAATTTGGAAACTTTATGCATTAAGACACGTAAATGATTGAGATTTGGAAGTTTGAGCCATTGGTTTAATAGATTAAGGACTTAATGAGGTTTTGAATATGGCTGATCTACGCTACACGTAGGTTGAAGCTATACACTACACGTAGGGTGGGTGTCCACATGTATGTTTTTGTCTTATAGTGCTATGCCTTGTGTAGGTTGAAGCTACGCTACTCGTAGCGTGAGACCATTGACTTTTGGTCAAACTTGGGTAAATTTAGGGTTTGGATAAAGGATTGACCCTTTGTTGGTTTGGGTCACTAAGTTATGCGTAATGATGATCTAGGAGGTTCGTGAGATTGATTTCCTGCTAGTGTGCGCGTGTAGCTGTGATTCCTTAACTTTCGTCTCAGGTGAGTTATGTCACTATACTTTGTATTGCAATATATATCCTTGTATGAAAGGATATAAGGATTGTTAGGGTTGGGTTGTATAAGTAGACTGTATAGTCTTCTGTATGATTGGTTGTTTGTTATATGATTCATTCATATGTTTGTATGAGGACTTGATGGTGGAACGAAGAAAGGATGTGGGCCTATAGACCTGTGTTGACAACATAACGACGATATGTCGTGAGTCCAATGAGCCATTGTTTGTCTGTTGTCGAAAGGAATGGCCTAACTTGACCGCACACGGATCGCTGTTGTTTTACGAATGATGCTTCTGCTGATTTTATGATACCAGTTTGTTTTGAAAAGCTATGTTTTACAATGATTGAACAAAAAAGGTATTTATATTACTTTTGGAAACACATTTTGATATTATATTTTATTCTGAAAATGAAAAATTTATGTTGAATTGGGACGTTACAAAAGAAAACCTTCAAGCACACATGAATGAACTTATGAGATAATTTGGTAAACCCACCCGTAAATGCACTCTCAAAGGAATGAATTTCAAGCACAAATGAATAAACTTTAAGGCTTATGTTTGATTATGTGTATGAACTACGAAATATATTTTAGACATTTTTAGGTTTAAACTTATTATATTTGTAGTTGAAATTGTAAAACTACAATTCTTGTTTACTGTATTATATTTTTCTGCATTTTTAGCAGAAAAAAATGGATTTCTTTTGACTTATTTTATTATTATTTTTTTTTCAGTTTTTATTTATTTATTAAATTGACATTTTACTAACAGACTACTATGTTTACGTCACTAAATTAAAAAAAAAATTCAGTTTGGCAATCAGTCACGAACAAGTTCCGTTCATAATCTGTCGCAAATCAGAAAAATCAATCAAAAAATCATTATTAGAAAAATCAGACTGTCGGAATTCCTTCGGCAATTACCAACGGAAAATGGCTCTCTTTGACAAGTTTTCAGAATAGATACATTAGAATGAAAAACAAAAGTAATAAAACAAATACGAAAGGAAAAACCCAGTTTTGACCTCGTTGGAAAATGAATTATGGTGTAACTGTGTAAGTGTATCATGTTTTGATTAGTATTGTGGCTTGTAGCATTCAGGAGCCATCTTTCCACCAAATCGTTTATAATCTGTGCAGTAGTTATAGATCATGTAATTATCTTGAACCCACTTCATCTTCCCTTGCTGATCCCAATTCAATTGCTTGTAAACACGTGATGTCCACCAGTTAAAGGGAGTAGGTACTGCACATTTGATAATGCTAAGAGGTCCATCCCATTTACAAGCTCTTGCATTGAATTTCTTCAAACCAGCCATGAAAGGTGCACAACTCCAGTCAATTTTCACTAGTCCACCTCTCGTTGCCCAGTTATCAGCATTCCACAAACTCGAATACACCTGCATTCCTTGTTGGTTTGGGAACCCAATTCCTTCACTTTTGTAGTTTCTGAAAACCCTAATCGGTATACTATCAACAAACCACCTGCATTCATTCCCATGATTTTACTTTTTAGTAACTGTTAATCTTTAACCTAAACATTTAATGTTCTTTGAGTAGAATATGTGTTAAACTTACACAACAGCGGTTGGGTTCCAGTGAATGGTGTAATTGTGGTAATCAGCAGTTGGGTCAAACCATAGCTTAAACTGCTGCTCTCTATTGCCTTTTCCTTGGGTAAAGATGTTTGTGTGCATGGTGTAAGGTTGTCCTGATGAGTTTCCTAAGAACTCAAAGTCGATCTCATCATGATAGTTACCAGTAGAGGAAAGCTTCAATGATTTCACATAAAAGTGTTAGCTATCCGTTTTCAGCATGAGAAGGATTTAAACAACAAAAATGACGTGGGAGAGTAATAAAAGGGACAAATGCAATCATTCTGTGTCTTTAATTATATTGCACTTACATAATATGCGGTGACAGTTCCTGCAGAGTTCCCTGGAACCAACTTAATTAGCATTTCAATGCTTCCAAAAAGGAATGCGTTGTATGATTGAATACCAGATCCTGTAGATCATTACTCATCGTTAACATGATGCTACATCAAAGTTATAATTCATGTTTGACTTTTGAAATCCAAATAAAAGTTGGAATCTATACCTGCAGTTTTATCAAGAAGCAGATTAAGATTATCACCATTGCCATAAATGTATGAATGCTTGGCACCCCAGTTGAAGTACACGTCCCTATAAAAGTTTCCATGGACAACACATGATTGGAATGCGATTACTGAGATAAATGCAACTGCAACCAAACCATGTAAGCTTCTCATCTTAACAGATTCAGAAGGTATTCTTCTTAGTTTGCTTTCTTTTATGAGTAGTTTGCACTGAGGATGCTCTTTTTATTGTTTTCGACATCTTATATATAGCCTTTGTTTAGCATATTCTTGCCATGTTGACTCTTGCCCCATTATTTGTTTTTACAAGACATTTCAAATTTCTTGACCTTGTCTTGTATTTGACATTCATTAGAGGCCAACTAATAATTAATTTTTCTCACATCTTTGAAAATGAAATTTATAGCATCTTAAATGACGAATTGTACTTGTGGAAACAATTTTTCTACATATAATAAGTCCCCTTTAGGTGCATCTAATGGGCGTAACACTGGCATGCAGTAAAAAACAAAATTGAAACAAAAAGCGAAAAATGTAACAAAAAAACGAGCCATCCAGACTGTCAGTTTTGAAAAAAAAAAACGAAATTTGAGAGTTGGGTTTGGTTTTATTTTATACCGAAAATAAAAAGTGATCTGAATCATATTTATAACATATACAAGGTTCTTATGTGATTAAATATCTAAGGCTGTTTCAATTTTCAGCAACATTTTGATCATTTATGTTGTAGATTAAATAAGAATATTTTTGCTATTATACTTGATGCGATGCTGCATTTTGCAGAGTGTGATTGCTACCAAAAAAAAAATAAAACTTGTGGGGAGGAGGTGGTTTCAGGAGAAATCTACGTGCATAGGACTAAAGATATGAACTTTATAATTAGACAGCTGTTAATGAAGTTGTAGACAGAAGGGGGAAAAGGTTTCTTGTATTCCTTGGTGGATAGCTAGACGTGCTACCCTCAAGACACCTACCTATATCATTGGTTGTTCTAGGAGAATGTTTTTCTTCAAACAGTAATATACTTGAAGGTTAAAAACATGTTAAACATAAATCTAATACATGCTTTATTATATAAATATATATATATATATATATATATATATATATATGCGATGCTTCCAACCGCCTACGAATACGTGCTAAAGGGTTAAATAATCGGTTTTGATCAATATCAGTCAAAACCGGTCCAAATCGGACTAAATCGGACCAACTCGGACAACAATTCGGACCAAGTCATTCCAGCAAAGTCGTCGGCCCAATGGAGCCAACAACCCAAAGCACATCTGTTTTACTTATTGAAGGGTATTTTCGCTCCTTTTTATAGAATATTTCTGCCTAATATTTTTCCCCACTAGCGATGTGGGATGTGGGACTCGTGGTTGAATATCTCTTCTTCGCTTCTTCTTCATTCACATAACTGGCGATTGAAGGTTTGAGCTTTGGTTGTCAATGGTGATTTCGACTGGTGGGTTAACTCCTTAATTGCTGCCAGGGTTCCTTCCGATTTTGCCATTCCATCGCATTCAGTCTAACTTTTTTTTCGAAGCACATCCGTCTTGTTCTGTCACACATCTTCTTCTACTTCCAAGCACATCATCGCTTTCTGAAGCTTCCAAGCACATGGAGAACGGTATCGCTTCTTATTCGTTCACGTAACTGGCGATTCAAGGTGGGGAATCCTTTGTCGAGCCTTAATTCTCTCTAATTCGTTCACTGGTTCAGGTAAGATCTGACTCTGGCACATGATTTGACCTACAATTGAGATATTAGTTGATTCTAAGTTATGAATTTGACCAAGCAAGTTAAGAAATATCCGATTGCTAATTATAGATTCCTTTTCTGTTTAAAACTAAACTTGATTCTTGTTGCAATTCAGGTTCGTGATCTATTGTTACGTGTTTTAGATTCTGATTGCTAATTATAACATGTTTAGGTGTTTCAAGGATTCTTGGTAGACTTTTCAAATGCAATATTTATACTCCAACAGATGTTGAAGGTAAATGACAAATACTTTATACTTGTATACTTCTGTACAAATTGCTATTGGAGTTGTGAAGTAACCTCAAATATTGTTAGATTCTTTCCAATAACTGTATTCTTCTTCCGAATTTGACCCAAACTCCAAGTTTCACACTTTCTAGATTTGTTTGTGTGTCTTGGGAACTTATGTTATTCATTGAATGTATCATAAAGCATGACATCCTTAATGAATTATTTCAGGAACGACCACTGCAGTTGATGCTAAGTCCACAATCCCTCTGATTTTGATTTCAAGTCAATGTGAGACGACTAAAATGGTGCATAATGATGTAAAAGTCAAAGATGATGCATGCTTAAATAAGTGGAATAATGATGAACTACATAACATATTTGAGCTTGTAGGTTGCTATATGCATCCAACCCCAATCTCAATGGTAATGTTGAGAACAAAAGGGAATGAGGTCTTCATATGTGTTTTATGTGGGTATTTGATGGAAAAACATAGGATATTATCTGTAAGGAAAAAATCAAATCGTGTATACCATTCACAATGCTCTAGTTGGTTATTTAGATTTGATGCATTAAGGATTAAAGAGGTTTTTTTTATGTAATCATAGTTTCGTGTTATAATGTTCTTTCTATTAAATTTTTAATAATTTTTTTTAATTGATATGGTTATATTTATTAATGTTATATTTAATGTTATTTTCTTAGGATTAATGTTATATTTTTTAATTTTTTAATAATTAATGGTCCCTGATTAATCCCCGCCTAGCAGATTAATCCCTTGACCCCAGTCCACCGCCGAGCCTACGTCGAGCGTTTTCTACAACCTTATATATATATATATATATATATATATATATATATATATATATATATATATATATATAGAGGGTTAATAACCTATGAGATGATTATAAAAATAAATTAATTTTTATAGTAAAATTAAGTTTTTCAAATTAAATATATTAAAAAATATATTAGGTTCCAAATAAAAATTAACAACAAAGTTTTATTACAAATAATAATAAAAGATGATATAAGATTGGAAACTTGGAGGGTTATATCGAGGAAGGATTTCAGAGTTGGTGTTTTCCTTTTGAGAAGAAGTAGATGTATATTTATTTGAAGAGTTTATATGTTGACGATGATCGAAGACAACATCTACATATAATTATAAATGTAGTTAAAATAAAAAAAATATATAACAATAAAGAAATATTTAAACTAGGTTTATTTAATAAAAAGTATGGTAAGGTTAAGAAAAAAAAGTAATGTGAAAAAATTGTGTGCTAAATGAACTTTGACCGTTTTATTTTTCGCTTTTTGGTTATCTAAATATAATTACCTTTTTTTCGTCATTCTTTAGCAAAAATGGAATCCATGTTATTTTATGAATCTGTATAACAAAATAATTTAATTAAAATTTAATAATGATGAATGAATGGTCATTTAGTAATAATGAATAGAAGCTGCTATCTTTACTATATTATTAAACATATTGATTGTTTTTTGAAATTTAAAAGGTACAATACCTACTACCTCATGTACAACTTATTATCCAATACAACTATTCATAAATCATTTACGGAATTACTTTGGGAATTAAACAATATTTTTTATTCCTAGACTCACAATCATTCACTAAAACCCTAAATCACACTAAATCAGTCGTCTTCATCGACAAACCCAAAATCACAATTACCTCATGTTACCATAACCCATCTTATGCATCTGATACCACCACCATCCTGACGACGCCGTCGTTACCACCACTGTCGTCCGCTACGTCGCTTCTCATTGTTCCCAAACCAGCACTACGTCGCTACGCCGCCATGTCACTCCAGCGTCGTTCTCCGCCAACCTGGTTCTTTATCACCGTGATCGATTATGTGGAAAACGCCTGATGTCTGCTTCTGTGATTTCATCGTGAACACAAAGAGGTAAATTTTGGAATTCTCCTCTCTATCTCTCTCTCTCTCTCAATCGATCGATTCCATCTGTTTTCTATATAAAGGCTCTTTTTATGACAATAAATTAGAGTTTTAATTTTCTACTTCAGATTCATGGAACATATAATCGAGAAGGGCTGTAAAATTGAAGTAGTTAGTCCATGGATTTATTTATGCACTTTTAGTCATTTATTGGGTTTAAGAACCTTGGGTTTGTATCTTGGTTTACGGGAAGCCTACACTTCACCAGTTTTATTAAAATATAAAACTGCATACTATTTTTCAGTACACTATCGTTTACATTTCTGGTCTTAGGGTTTAAGGCTACAGTTTTTCATACATCAGAAAAATATTGGATTTTCTGGGACATACATTTTACAATTACGAAGAAAAAGAAACAAAGGACATGCATACATACATTTTTAGTCTTTGGTGTAAGACTCACAACTCATTTTTATAGAAAATATCGGATTTTCTGGAGAAATACAAACCATTTTTAAACAAATCAGATACAAATCTTTTCATACAAATATGCTTATGAACTCACCAACATTCAATGTTGACGTCTTTCAAAATCACTTGTATTCTCAGAACCAGTAAGCAGGTACCTAAGTCTTTGAGAACTGGATTGCTGCATTTTGGAAGTCTTACTTTTTGTCACTTTTGTGTAATTTATGAACAAATACAATATGTAAACTATGTAAGTCTATATTCTCAATGTATGTTGCTTGGGTTGCTATGTTTCATTTATATTCAACTGTTATGATACTATACAATGACGTCATCCGCCCCGGACGTTTCCGCCGTCCTGGTTCGGGGGTGTGACAGATTGGTATCAGAGCATTGTTTATAGTGAACTAGTATATCTAACCATACAAGATATACAACTATAAATACAATGGGACTAAAAACACTCAGACCAAAAGTATACTTTAAAAATATAAGTATTTTATAAAAAGAAAAAAAGTATACATACATGTGTGCATATTAAGGGTAGTGTCATAACAAGAAACAAATAAAAAGTCTTTAGAGGAGTTGAACATCGCGACTAAACTTAGACAGTTATGTAATCATATCTAGGGTAAATATAGCCTGATCAACTATATTTATTCGAGATATGACCAATATGTGTTTATTTTGTATGTAGGACCGACCTTACGTCTAAGTGATTACACTATTAGGAGGGTCGTTATGCTGCCAGATTGTTATCTTGATGTATTATAGACCTTATAAAGGTCAATTTTCCAAAAGTTATGTACCTCTACTTTATCATTAATGAAATAAACATGTGTTTTAATTTATGGATGTTGTTATTTGCTATGTCTTATCTATTCATTTTTATTTGGTAAAACAAGATTTCAATTATATGTACAAAATAACGCTCGATAACCACTAGACTTGACATATCTAAATGCGATGTTTCATTACAATAGTATCCACATCATAACCCTTATCAAAAACTTATCAAATTCCACTTGTGGCAGTAGAATGCCACCCCGAAGATACAACCGACACAAGAACAACGCGACAGCACCACCGCCACCGCCGCCTCCACCACAAATGGATTCGGCCATATTCCAGGCGGCAGTTACAGCCGCAGTCACTGCTGCTCTTGCACAGATCAGCAAATAATGGTGCAAATGGAGGAGGAAGCGGAAACGGAACGGGCAGTTCCAACCATGGGGTTAATCAAGGGCTTCAGAGATCATGCACATATAAAGACTTTACAAACGGAAAGCCAAGGCCATTTAATAGAATTGGTGGTGTTATAGCCCTAACTCGATGGTTTGCAAAGACGGAGTCAGTCTTTGAGATCTGTGTCTGCCCAGAGGAAAGCAAAGTTAAATTCCCATCTTGTACTTTTGCCGATAGAGCCCTTATATGGTGGAATGGCCACATCAAGGCTCTAACACTTCCAGTGGCGAACTCAATGACTTGGGAGGACCTCAAAACCATGATGCTTGAAGAGTACTGTCCTAGGGGTGAGGTACATAAACTCGAACAGGAATTATGGAATCTCACTATGAAGGACTCCGACATTGAAGCTTACACTGACAGATTCAGAGACCTGGCGATCATGTGTCCATGATTGATCACTTCTGAAAGCAAGAAGGTCGAACATTTCATTTGGGGACTATCTTCCCCGATTCAATAGAAATGTGATTGCTGCAAACCCAACAACGTTCGACAGCGCCAAGCGCCTTGCTCAAAAGCTTATTGACCATGGGGTACAAAAGGGCATGATGACTTACGTCACTGAACCGAAAAAGGGGAATGATAACAAGAAAAACTTTGGAAACAAGAGGAATGGGCAGCAAACTCAGGAGTCTGCAAAGAAGCAACACATCGTGGCGGTTCATGCCGCTACCACTCCTGCCACACCAACACCTACCAAACCATATGCGGGAAATCTCTAAAAGTGTGATAAATGCAACTTTCATCACAACGGTGCATGCATAGAGATGTTGGATTAATGTCTAAGTCCATAACTATAATTGGTAAGACTTGACCCGACCCGGCATGGTCCATTTGGGTTGCATGGCATCATGCATTTGGATAGACTATAATGAGAGAAATAACACTTAAGGTTTGTTAATATATTATAAGTTCTACTATATTAATAAGATTATTTAATTAGTATTGATCAAGAATTAATCTAGGATTAATTAAGTGATCAAAAGAAGACTAATTAAATATATGGGTTGATTGTGTAAATCATCCATACTTGTATAGTGGGCTAATGCTTCATGGATTGTCAAGTTGGGCTAAAACCCATAAGATGCTCCATGGATGCTCCATGGTATATTTGAGCCCATGGATCCAAGGAAATGGAAAGCCATGAAAATTAGGGTTTACTCTAATTGTCACTAACTATATAAGCATCTTATTGTTGACAAAATCGGCACTAGAGTAATAGAAAGGGCTAGCCGATTTTCATGAAGTGTGGAATTCTCTCAAGTCATTCCAAGTGTATTTGGTGTTGTGTGAACCATTTGAGGTGTCACACTTGGGGCACTAGGCACTCAAGCTTCATGAAGACAATCTACATCAAAGAGGTATGTAATTCTAACTTGATATATTCATTTGAATCAATGTTATTATGCTAGTTAGGATGAATACCTTGGAAAGTTCATATTTGCATGTATAATAGAGAAAACATAGATCCAAGGTATTTAGGGTTGCATGTACACTTAGGAGTGTTAGAATGCTCAAAACCCAACAGTGGTATCAGAGCCTAGGCTTGTTTTCAATTATACTTGATGCAAGTTGCTGAAAATGCTGAAAAAATCGATTTTCTGGCTTTCTGGGCACTGGACTCGCCGAGTCCACTGATGAACTCGCCGAGTCCATGAAGAAAATCATCCTACTCGTCGAGTAGGTTGATACACTCGACGAGTAGGAGCCCCAAACAACATATTTTCGAGGTTTTTGGCTAGAAATGGACTAGGAACATTACCCTAAGCTGTTTTTTGGACTTATAAACTTGTTTTTGATGTGGTAATGTTCATGCTAATCCAATTTCAAAGATAATTGTCAATAGATTCATGTTTTGTATTAGTTTAGTGATTAGGCTAATTACATGAAAAAGTTTGATTTGAATTATCTTGTTCTTATGAGTTTGCTTAGATTAATAAAAGCTAATTGATTATGTTGTTTTCAATCCATTTTAATCTAAGAGTTGATTCTAAAATGTGTTTTTGTAACTTGTCCTCAAGTTATATGAAAAGTCACATTTAAGTTTCATAAACTCATAAAAAGTTGGCAATGGTTACAAAAAATGAAGAGTTTTGTCCTAAAGTTTATGGAGGTTCCAAGAGTCACTTCATTAAGTAAAAAAAGTGTAACCTTAATTAATTCCATAAGTTACAAAATAAAGAAAAATTACATTCTTTTATAGTTAAAGTCTTCCATAACTTGTCCTCAAGTTATGGAACTTGAAGAGTCTTTATTTAAAATTACTTTAAACACATAAGTTATGGAATTAATTAGTTTTGAATAGTTTCAAAACTTGCCCTCAAGTTTTGGAATTTGAAAGTTTTTCTTATGAATACTTTAATTCCAAGTTTAGCCCTAGATTTTAAAAGTTAAAATTCAACCCTTATACTTTATAATATTATAAGTTAATAATATATAATATATATATATATATTATATATATATATATAGATATATATATATATAATATATATTATGTATAAGAGTAAAGTCAGTCTTACCGTTAGTAGGCCTCATTCACGAAGCCGGTCTATAAGGGGGGTATAAGGTTACTGCCTATAAAATGGCAGTTTAATGGGTGTCCACTCTCACCCCACCGCTTCCTTGACTGGTGGAGGGTCGTTAGCCGAACGGGTAGGACAAGGACTATAATTCTCCCTTCATTAAAAGTATTAATGATAAATACTAAGTAACTAAACTTTTAAATACCCAATCTTAGTTACTTAGGAAAAAGTGAATAAGGTGCTAATCCATGAAATTACACTTTGCACTTTGTTTAAGTCGTTAGTGGAGCGTGTGTGGTTAACCGGCACACTAACCTGGACTTAACAAGGTAGGCAAAGGGTAACTTAATATTTATCATAGTATCGGTGGAGCGTGTGTGGTTAACCGGCACATCGATTAGGGGTAAATATTAAGGGTACCAAGTATATTTGCATGGTTACTTCACACCTTGTTTTGTGATCCTCGGCATCCCAGTCACAAACCTGAAGGGCACACTCGAGATTGAAACATGCCATTGAACAGTTCAATGAATCTCAAAAGATCTAGGAGTTTCAAATCCAATTAAAACCTAATAAATTATTTCGTTTATCTGGTGGAAATTGGTGAATCGTCATTCACCTACCTTCAAATATTTTATAGCTTGGATTACGGCATCCCTCTCTTCTAAGTTATAAAATAGTGTGTTGGGTCCTAGCCTTAATATTTCATATTGGGTGTTATATTAAGGACTTTAA